TTCGATATAACCAATAAATGAGTGTGCAATAGGTCATTATTTCATTGTCTGTGTGATTTTGTTACAACTTAGGAAAGGGGGAAGGTTTCAGTTAAATAATTATGTAAAATAGGCATACCAGTATAAAGGGCATATGTGATAACGATTCGAGCAACACAAGACATTAGGCCTGTCGAGATCACGTAGTAGGAATGTCTGTAACAAATTGAGATTTCCTCAGTAGGCTAGTCTAACGATAGTGTATCAGCACCATGGAGAGCTCCCGCCAGGTTGCGTGGATGCGTTTAGCAATAGAACGTTTACAGTAGGTCTAACCTGGGCCTAACATGCTCAAAGGGCTAATAAAAAGTTATTCCGTTTTGGTATGTCAGTTAGGCCTATATAAACATATATTGTAGCCTACCCTATGATCATGCTGGACCACTAGGAGACTTACTTAGACCTAGCCTACTTAGTCCCGTCGCTGCCCAGGGAGCATAGAGGGCGACGACGACTCAACATCGCACTCTGTTCTGGGCGGTCTTCTCAACTCGTTCCACCCCATGCCGGATCTGTAAAGCAGGAGAAGCCTTGTTTAAATTAATTCACGTAGGTATAGACCTGTCATGCTGATGTTAGGCTACAATTGACTGGCCGCTTGAACCAGCGACTAATGCATCACGTGAATATACTTTAATCATTCAATAAATGTTACTTGGGCGTGACCCGAACTGTTTGTTGACTTATCTTGTAGGTCTACGGATCTATTCAAAGTAGTGCATTAGTGTCTGTGGAAATGTAGGCCTACTGTCCCGGACAAGGGAGTTACTTCCTGCCATCCAGGACCTCTATACCAGGTGGTGTCAGAGGAATGCCCTAAAAATTGTCAAAGACTCCAGCCACCCTAGTCATAGACTGTTCTCTCTGCTACCGCACGGCAAGCGGTATCGGAGCTACAAGTCTAGGTCCAAAAGGCTTCTTAACAGCTTCTACCCCCAAGCCATAAGACTCCTGAACAGCTAATCAAATGGCTACCCGGATTAGTTGCATTGTTCCCCCTCTTTTACGCTGCTGCTACTCTCTGTTTATTATCTATGCATAGTCACTTTAACTCGACCTACATGTACATGTTACCTCGACTAACCTGTGCCCCCGCACATTGACACTGTACCAGTACCCCCTGTATATAGCCTCGCTACTGTTAATTTATTGCTGCTCTTTAATTATTTGTTATTTATCACTTATCTATTTTTTTACTTAACACTTATTTTTCTTAAAACTGCATTATTGGTTAAAGGCTTGTAAGTAAGCATTTCACTGTAAGGTCAACACCAGTTGTATTCGGGGCATGTGACAAATACAATTTGATTTACCATCAAGTGTTCTGCATCAGGGTTGGGGTCAATTCCATTTAATTTCCAGTAAATTCAGAAAGTACACTATAATTCCAATTCCAATTATATTCAATGCTTTTCAATGAGGAACATTTGGAATTGGAATTTGGTTTACTTTCTGAATTGACTGGAATTGAAATGGAACTAACCCCAACCCTGCTCTGCCTACATTTTCTCACTCTAGTCTAGTCAAATTGTCTTCATATGGTTCTACATCAGCATGTAAGAAAGTAGACACCTAGACATGGCATAGTTGTCCAACAAGAAAAACAACATGACTCAATAGTTGAAATTCTTGCCTGAATTGAAAATGCGATTCTAGGACGCCACATAGGTCATTATAATGGCCAGTTCAAAATCATCACCAAGTTGATTTCAGTTCAATATAAACACAGCTCTTGGAGACAGGACCTTTCTGGAAAAAAACGTATTCACTGTCATGTTTGAAATAAAAAGTGTGTCTCCAGAATGGTCAACAGTAATGAGATGAAGACAAAGTGTTTGATGCTAAATAGTTTATTAAGGCTTGATTTCTTCTAAAGGAAAAAATAAAATAAACCAAGATAGAGTTTTAAAAACCTTACAGGGTATTCCCACTGACATATGCTACAGTGGTGTACTTGCAAGTCTATACGATAATTCCTTTTATTAATATTTTTTTATTTCATTTTATTATTCTGTAGTAGATATAATTTATTTTAAAACCATAAACATGGCCCTCTATTACAGCAAAGAATTTGACACGTGCATGTAAGTCCTAAACTAAACTATAGGCATCACAACCATTCCATGCTTCTTGACCAAAAGAAAGACAACAGTGATGCATGTCTATAGCGTAAAGTAGTTTCCTTTCCTTAATCTATACTGGTGTGAGAGACTGATGAAAGAAACACCATGGAAGGCATCCACCATATGGCTTTAACCCTTTGTTTTCACATTTGTGCAGATCAAGGAGGAAGGAAGTCACTTTAGACTGGAAGAATCTCACTAGCGCCCTCTCTCCTCGTCTCCTTCTCAAAACCCATTTGATGAGAAAGCCATAGGTCCCGCCCCTCTGACCTTCTCCTCCAATGGGTTTTGAGAAGGAGAGAACACGAGGAGTATGCAATTGAGGTTCTCCCTAAATTGAGTTGCACCCAGGGTGTCCCCTGTATAAAGGTCAAAGGTCACGTCTCCAGTCATACAGGGACTATACACTACACTGACCAGGTAAAGGAGCAGCTACACTACAGAGTACAGACAAAACCAACATCTGAGAAGGGGCTGTGGTGACACACACAACCGAGCACCACACAACCAGCAAGTCTGGAACTGATCCACGCACATTGCAAGTTACACAACTTCTTGAACACAAGAGATGTGAATTCATGCTCATGTACAGTGAGTGACAGCATCCACATCCATGTCATTACTTTCATTAGCACTCTGTCCTGTCCAAGTGTTCACACACACACACACACACAAGGCAGAAAATGACAAAACATTGAAAAGCAGTAAGCACTCCTCATAAAGGATTGTATGATGTTTAAAGCTGGAATCCGTAGCAGTGAAACTCCAACGTCCTTTTGCGATATTAAAACAAATACATTACTGCAAACAATGAACACTGTTTCCACAGACATCAATGCACATCATTGTACCCGCGATAGACCAGAAGAGTATGTACTATGATTATATATATTTTTTAAATCAAGGTGCAGGATGCTTCGCTCCTCCTTTCATAAACAAAACAAAAACAATAAATGCACCAGTGGCGCCGTTTCACCTAATGCGGATTCCAGCTTTAACCAAAATGTAAATCAAGTTTACAGCCTGCATGATTGCGCATTGTAGGCTATTAATTAGAGATACTTTCAATGTTCAACCCCCAATCAATCTCCATGGATAGATAGCTCCTGATACCAATGACTTACTTTCATATTTTAAACAATGACTCCATTCTAAAAGCGCACACACATTTTCAGCAACAACAAAAAACACAGAAACCATATTTTGTTCTTACTTTTTTCTTACTCTTGGTAGTAAATCAGTTACATTATTTTCAGGTTATACATTGTAGGCTTTCTCCATGACTATAGGTTCCTAAGTTAAAGCTTAGCATTACAAAGGAAATTCTTGATTTCAGGGCTCTACAGTCCAACCATTTCACTCGCATATGCACCCTAAATATTTTACTGTGCGACCTGGAATTTTTATTTAGGAGCACCAGTGTGCCTAGAAAAAAAATAATAACCCAGATGATAATTGTTGCAATGATTACTTCACTGTACCGCAGCCCCTGAGTGCCATGGAGAATACACTGAGCGCAGATTGACTGTCATGTTTGAACTATTACTACAAAGAAAACGGCTCGTTATCTCAAATATTTGTTCATTGTGCTCCTAAATTCCTTTGTGTGCTCTTACATTTTTCAACTTAGGCGCACATGTGATCCTTGTAAAAAGAAAAAAAAATCAGCGTAGAGCCCTGGATTTATAGCAAAACCACATTTTGAGAAGCAGAAAAGTCCAACGAAACAAAGGATTAAGACAGAATGATGGCCAACGGACAATTAACCGAAGTGATTTTTCCAAAAAGAGCAACAAACAATTCATTCATATGTAGCAGTTACATCACATAATTCTAATTATAAAATAATTACTTTAAAATTATGAATGCTACATTTCTCTCATACTGGCTTGAATACGTGAACAGAATCTCCCAATGATGAAACTTACAAAACCTCAAGACAAACGTCATTTATCAAAACAAACCAAAGTGAAGGGGTTTGAGGGATGTAAAATTGTACAATTTTGGATTCAGATGGTGAGAGCTCCTTCACCGTGGAGGACACACATCAGTTACTTCCTTCCCAGAGGCCTTTGCACTTCCTCCTTTGAAATGTCCAGAGTCTGTGACTTCACGCTATCCCTGATTTCTCCAGCACTGTCAGTTAAAGAGCGGTTCTTTTGACATGTCATTAATAACTCGAAAATAAAATATTAAAGGCTCCAGAAAAGCAGCTTTCTGAACTGAAAATTGTCAATAGTAAGCCAAAAAATATAGACTTTGTTGATCTTGAATGAAAAATAGATAAACCATTGAAGTCTTATTAATCGTACACAGTTCCAAGTCCGAAAATGTTGCCTTTGGGATCCTCCAACCCTGTCGGCATAGTTAAACCTCTGAAGCATGGCAACACCGCCCCCCAATGGACAAACAGGGGCAGGACACTGCAGTTCCTGATTATGCAGAAATATAAAGTGGCAGATATTCTCTTCTCCTTGGTGCTGTCAAACCCTGATTCAATTCGAGCGAGAGTAGGAAGGAAGGGGGCAGGAAAGGTCAAAACCAACCCAGTCTGACGAGAAAGAGTACATGATGGAGAGAACGTAAAAATCAAAGTCAATCAGAACTAAAACAGTGCAGTGGTGGTGGCTAGGTAATACATTAAATCAGCTTGTTATCCCTGCACAAGAGGTGGTGGGTGGTACCTGGAGCACAAAGCGCAAGTCTTAAGTGGTGGCAGAAATTCACCAGGATTAAATATAAAAAATGACGTATTTTTGAAAATAATTTCTGAATTCTTCTGTCTCTTAAATCAAAAGTCCTAGTGTAAATGTTGATCAAGCCAAGGATAAGTGTATTCTACTGTGGTTTACTCCTGTTTTGGCGCTCCTGTGGGGAGACAAGAGAAGGAAGTAGACATTAAATAACACTAACATAATCTAAACCAACAATCACCAAAATGGTAATCATCATAAAATCCCCCCAACCTTATCATCACAACAATAATGTCAGATTCCAGTTGAGAGAGGGGGAAACTGGACATGTACCTGATCCAGTGGAGTTCGGTTCTGGATGGGTGCAGGCGGCTCAAAGACCTGACAGCAGGAGCAGAGGGAGAGAAGAAGAGGTGTCAGTCAAGCACACAGTTGCTCAGAGTTGCATACATATAAAGCAACCTCTTACGGACATCTATTGAAGGGCTCTAAACTGATCATGATATGCAAACCATTTTCATATTCACCAAGATGATAACTAATGACAAAATAATGTAAATGAATCAAATGTCTTTTACCAACAACAAAGGACAGCATTTGAAGTAGGTACAAATCAATACAACTTTATGGGAGGCAGGTTGTTTAGCATCCATAAAGCCTAGAAGTGGATGGACTGGATTTAACCAGACCAGTGTAGCTAACCCACCTTGCGCACCTCCTCCTCCTCCTCCTGCCTCTTCTCATAGTGGGAGAAATCATCGAAGATGGACGTGGTGTGCTTGTAACCCACAATGATCTTCAGCACCTGCTTGGCCTTCTCCAGAGGGACCTCCTGGGTGTCCCGGGAGTTGGTCACCGGCTTGTTGTCGTTGTTCTCAAGGCGGATGTGGCGCAGCTGGCTGTTGGGCACGTCCTTCACAAACAGCCAGTCCACATCAAACTTACCCTTCCACTTGTCCTGCGCCCACACGCCGGCGCTGGTGCCGTAGTCCACGGGCGAGCGCATCTCGGCCACGCCGCAGAAGTGGCCACTGCCGTTGACGCTGAACAGCAGGTAGACGGGTCCCTTGAAGTTGAGGCCGCGGAAGGCCCCATCCAGGCGCTTGTTGCCGTGCTCAGTGCTACACCAGATGGAGTACTTAATGGAGCGGTGGATGTCGTCCTCAGAGTAGCTCTTGATGATGAACACACGGCCGTTCTTCAGGTTCCACTCAAACTCCTTGGGGTTGTAGCTGTGAGCGGCACGCAGCTTCTCCAGTACTGGGTGGTTCTCTGCTCCACCGGGTACCATACTGGCAGAACTGAGGGGGGCACCGTTACCCCCGCCAACTATGGCAATCATACTGCCACCGTCCATTCCGGCCCCTCCCTGCCCGTAGCCGAAGTTACGGTTGCGCGGGGCGACCCAGCGGGTCTGGGGTGGTGGGGTTTGGGTGTGGTTCTGGTAGGATTGAGGAAGGGGCTGGTGGTGCTGGTGGTGGGGGGGCTGGTGCTGTAAGGGCATGGGCTGCATCTGCTGCTGCATGGGGTTCTGGGGTTGCATGGGGTGGCCAAGGGGCATGCTCATAGCCTGCTGCATGGGGGCTTGGGCCACTTTATTCACAGGCCCCTTGTTGTCCCAGGTGCCGATGTCCATGTTGTGTTTGATGGGCGGAGGGGGCAGGGCTCCCCCAGGGCTGGCCATGCCTGGTTTCATCTTGGCCTTCAACTGCTGGGGCTTGGCTGGCTTACTGGCGATGGCTGCCCACGAGGTGGGCTTGGGCAGGGGCATACCGATGGGCGTACCCCCATTTCCCTGCGCCACCGCCGGCGGTCCACCAATCACAGAGCCCACAGCCTTGACCCCTGACCCCTGGCCTGTGATGTCACCACCAATTTTTAGGCCCACCATGCCCTGCTCCAGGCTGTTCATGCCTGGGGCCTTGTTGAGAGTGTCGCTGTGGAAGCCTGTTTGGCCGTCAGGCACCAGGGTGCCCCCCAGGGAGCTGGGAGGGTAGCTGTAGCTACCCCCGTAGGCTGAGCTCTGAGTCTGCTGGCCCTGGGAGCCACTGGTGCCCCAGGCGGAAAAGGTTGGGTTCTCAGGGAAAAAGTTAAAGCGATGGGGGTAGATACTGTTGCCAAGCCCTCCAGGCTGGCCAAACACGGTGTCGGGCATAAAGTGATGGTCTCCATTGCTCAAGGGTCCGTAGGGGGTGAGGTAAGGGATAGGGGGGTCTCCCCCGGTAGACCAAGGGGCCTCGCTAAGGGGGTAGGGAAAGCCGATGGAGGGGGCGTAGTAGCTGGACAGGTAGGGGTCGGTCATGGACTGGTAGCTGTTGCTCTGTGGAGTTAGAACAATGATATCAATAATCTATCACGATGATGTAAAAATATGTTTCATTTGTCTTTTGTTTTACATTATGCAACACTAATAAACAGTTGATCACAAAACACAGCTAGTAAATGGGAAAAATACAGGTCTGGGAATTGCTAGGGACCTCACGATACAATATCATCACGATACTTAGGTGCAAGTTCTATATGTTTTGCGAGTCTATTTTGCGATTTGATGTTCCACACATATTGCTCACTATACAGTACCTTCGGAAAGTATTCAAACCCCTTGACTTTTTCCACATTTTGTTAGGTTAGAGCCTTATTCTAAAATTAATTAAATAGTGTTTTCCCCTCAATCTATACAAAATAGCCCATAATGACAAAAACAAAAACAGGTTTTTATAAATGTTTGCTAATAATAATACAATTTAAAAATAAATATCACACTTACATAAGCATTCAGACCCTTTACTCAATACTTTGTTGAAGCACCTTTTTTAGCGATTACAGCCTTGAGCCTTCTTGGGTATTTAACATTTAGTCATTTAGCAGACGCTCTTATCCAGAGCGACTTACAGTTAGTGAGTGCATACATTTTCCATACTATGTATGTCTCTATAAGCTTGGCTTATTAGGGTAAGTCTCTATAAGCTTAGCACATCTAGCCACTGGGACTTTTGCCCATTCTTCAAGGAAAAACTGCTCCAGCTTTATTTCTCCCATACTGACCCCCCGTGGGAATCCAACCCACAACCCTGGCGTTGCAAACGCCATGCTCTACCAACTGAGCTACACGGGGTATGACGCTACAAGCTTGGCACACCTGTATTTGTGGAATTTCTCCCATTCTTCTCTGCAGATTCTCTCAAGCTCTGTCAGGTTGGATGTGGAGCGTTGCTGCACAGCTATTTTCAGGTCTCTCCAGAGATGTTCAATCGGGTTCAAGTCCGGGCTCTGGCTGGGCCACTCAAGGACATTCAGAGTCTTGTCCCGAAGCCACTCCTGCGTTGTCTTGGCTGTGTGCTTAGGGTCGTTGTCCTGTTAGAAGGTGAACCGTCGTCCCAGTCTGAGGTCCTGAGCGCTCTGGAGCAGGTTTCCATCAAGGATCTCTCTGTACTTTGCTGCGTTCGTCTTTCCCTCGATCCTGACTAGTCTCACAGTCCCTACCGCTGAAAACCATCCCTACAGCATGATGCTGCCACCACCATGATTCACCGTAGGGATGGTGCCAGGTCTCATCCAGACGTGATGCTTGGCATTCAGGCCAAAGAGTTCAATCTTGGTTTCATCAGACCAGAGAATCTTGTTTCTCATGGTCTGAGTCTTTAGGTGCCTTTTGGCAAACTCCCAGCACGCTGTCATGTGCCTTTTACTGAGGAGTGGCTTCCGTCTGGCCACTCTACCATAAAGGCCTGATTTGTGCAGTGCTGCAGAGATGGTTGTCCTTCTGGAAGGTTATCCCATCTCCACAGAGGAACTCTAGAGCTCTGTCAGATTGACCATTGGGTTCTTGGTCACCTCCCTGACCAAGGCCCTTCTCCCCTGATTGCTCAGTTTGGCCAGGCAGCCAGCTCTAGGAAGAGTCTTGGTGGTCCCAAACTTCTTCCACTTAAGAATGATGGATCCCACTGTGTTCTTGGGGACCTTCAATGCTGCAGAAATGTTTTGGTACCCTTCCCCAGATCTGTGCCTAGACACAATCCTGTCTTGGAGCTCTACGGACAATTCCTTCGACCTCATGGCTTGGTTTTTGCTCTGACATGCACTGTCAACTGTGGGACCTTATTTAGACAGGTGTGTGCATTTCCAAATCATGTCCAATCAATTGAACTTACCACAGGTGGACTCCAATCAAGTTGTAGAAACATCAAAGATGATCAATGGAAACAGGATGCACCGGAGCTCAATTTTGAGACTCATAGCAAAGGGTCTGAATACTAATGTAAATAAGGTATCTATGTTTAGTATTTTTTATACATTTGCAAATTTTTTCTAAAAACCTGTTTTCGCTTTGTCGTTATGGGGTATTGTGTGCAGATTGCTGAAGATTTTTATTTACTTAATCCATTTTAGATTAAGGCTGTAACGTAACAAAATGTGGAAAAAGTCTAGGGTTCTTAATACTTTCTGAAGGCACTGTATGTCTGCTGCAGAGACGAGAGCATGAGAAAATACGTTTTGATCGGTTATTGAAATAAAAGTGCTAAGAACATATTGGCGCAACATTTAAAAATAAGATAGAGAACAAGTTATAGGATGAAAGATCCAGTTTTGGCGCAGGTACAGCCGACTAGCGCTAGCTAAAGCTAACTAGCAAAAATAAAAATGTATATATATATATACACACACACACACATACAGTGGGGAGAACAAGTATTTGATACACTGCCGATTTTGCAGGTTTTCCTACTTACAAAGCATGTAGAAGTCTGTAATTTTTATCATATGTACACTTCAACTGTGAGAGACATAATCTAAAACAAAAATCCAGAAAATCACATTGTATGATTTTTAAGTAAAACATTTGCATTTTATTGCATGCCATAAGTATTTGATACATAAGAAAAGCAGAACTTTATATTTGGTACAGAAACCTTTGTTTGCAATTACATAGATCATAAGTTTCCTGTAGGTCTTGACCAGGTTTGCACACACTGCAGCAGGGATTTTGGCCCACTCCTCCATAGAGACCTTCTCCAGATCCTTCAGGTTTCGGGGCTGTCGCTGGGCAATACGGACTTTCAGCTCCCTCCAAAGATGTTCTATTGGGTTCAGGTCTGGAGACTAGCTAGGCCACTCCAGGACCTTGAGATGCTTCTTACGGAGCCACTACTTAGTTGCCCTGGCTGTGTGTTTCGGGTCGTTGTCATGCTGGAAGACCCAGCCACGACCCATCTTCAATGCTCTTACTGAGGGAAGGAGGTTGTTGGCCAAGATCTCGCAATACATGGCCCCATCCATCCTCCCCTCAATAAGGTGCAGTCGTCCTGTCCCCTTTGCAGAAAAGCATCCCCTAAGAATGATGTTTCCACCTCCATGCTTCACGGTTGGGATGGTGTTCTTGGGGTTGTACTCATCCTTCTTCTTCCTCCAAACACGGGGAGTGGAGTTTAGACCAAAAAGCTCTATTTTTGTCTCATCAGACCACATGACCTTCTCCCATTCCTCCTCTGGATCATCCAGATGGTCATTAGCAAACTTCAGACGGGCCTGGACATGCGCTGGCTTGAGCAGGGGGACCTTGCGTGCGATGCAGGATTGTATTCCATGACGGCGTAGTGTGTTACTAATGGTTTTCTTTGAGACTGTGGTCCCAGCTCTCTTCAGGTCATTGACCAGGTCCTGCCGTGTAGTTCTGGGCTGATCCCTCACCTTCCTCATGATCATTAATGCCCCACAAGGTGAGATCTTGTATGGAGCCCCAGACCAAGGGTGATTGACCGTCATCTTGAACTTCTTCAATTTTCTAATAATTGCGCCAACTGTTGTTGCCTTCTCAGTTGTTGCCTTCTCACCAAGCTGCTTGCCTATTGTCCTGTAGCCCATCCCAGCCTTGTGCAGGTCTACAATTTTATCCCTGATGTCCTTACACAGCTCTCTGGTCTTGGCCATTGTGGAGAGGTTGGAGTCTGTTTGATTGAGTGTGTGGACAGGTGTCTTTTATACAGGTAACGAGTTCAAACAGGTAATGAGTGGAGAACAGGAGGGCTTCTGGTCTGTGAGAGCCGGAATTCTTACTGGTTGGTAGGTGATCAAATACTTATGTCATGCAATAAAATGCAACTTAATTACTTAAAAATCATACAATGTGATTTTCTGGATTTTTGTTTTAGATTCCGTCTCTCACAGTTGAAGTGTACATATGATATAAATTACAGACTTCTACATGCTTTGTAAGTAGGAACACCTGCAAAATTGGCAGTGTATCAAATACTTGTTCTCCCCACTGTATGTATGTATGTATGTATGTATGTATGTATGTATGTATGTATGTATGTATGTATGTATGTACGTACAGTGGGGAAAAAAAGTATTTAGTCAGCCACCAATTGTGCAAGTTCTCCCACTTAAAAAGTTGAGAGGCCTGTAATTTTCATCATAGGTACACGTCAACTATGACAGACAAATTGAGGAAAGAAATTTCAGAAAATCACATTGTAGGATTTTTAATGAATTTATTTTCAAATTATGGTGGAAAATAAGTATTTGGTCACCTACAAACAAGCAAGATTTCTGGCTCTCACATACCTGTAACTTCTTCTTTAAGAGGCTCCTCTGTCCTCCACTCGTTACCTGTATTAATGGCACCTGTTTGAACTTGTTATCAGTATAAAAGACACCTGTCCACAACCTCAAACAGTCACACTCCAAACTCCACTATGGCCAAGACCAAAGAGCTGTCAAAGGACACCAGAAACAAAATTGTAGACCTGCACCAGGCTGGGAAGACTGAATCTGCAATAGGTAAGCAGCTTGGTTTGAAGAAATCAACTGTGGAAGCAATTATTAGGAAATGGAAGGCATACAAGACCACTGATAATCTCCCTCGATCTGGGTCTCCACGCAAGATCTCACCCCGTGGGGTCAAAATGATCACAAGACCGGTGAGTAAAAATCCCAGAACCACACGGGGGGACCTAGTGAATGACCTGCAGAGAGCTGGGACCAAAGTAACAAAGCCTACCATCAGTAACACACTACGCTGCCAGGAACTTAAATCCTGCAGTGCCAGACGTGTCCCCCTGCTTAAGCCAGTACATGTCCAGGCCCGTGCTAGAGTGCATTAGGATGATCCAGAAGAGGATTGGGAGAATGTCATATGGTCAGATGAAACCAAAATATAACTTTTTGGTAAAAACTCAACTCGTCGTGTTTGGAGGACAAAGAATGCTGAGTTGCATCCAAAGAACACCATACCTACTGTGAAGCATGGGGGTGGAAACATCATGCTTTGGGGCTGTTTTTCTGCAAAGGGACCAGGACGAC